AAAACAGGAACTTGTCCAGCTCCCCTCTATCTTTGAGACTAATTCCCTCCACCATTGCCACCAACTCTTTCTGGGAAAAACAACAACAACAGTTCACTTCAGTATTAAAATGTCTTTTTGGTTTTTTCTCTCATTCTTTCCCTTCCTGCCCTCAATAGAAATAATATCAGCTCCCCTTTATAAAGCAAGGAGTCACTCAGTATATCTCAAGCTAGTGGACATGGCTTTGGAAAACCTGGTGTAAAGGGAAATTATATGCCAAAGTGAAGTATTTCTGCTGCAAATCATCCAGAGACATCATCAATCCTATCTGATTGAGTTCAGTGCCATAGTCATAAATACTCTTGCTTTATGACCATGCTAGAGTTCTTCACCAGGGGCAAACGTGGACTTTCCCAAGGCTCCCAGATTAGTTGAGTCCGGTCTAGCATGGTCACAGCTGATTCGCTGAATACCTGCCAAGCGAGAGGTAATACAGTCACAGGATATTCCTTTTCTGTCCTTTCTCCGTCTCTGGTTTAGTTTTGCCAGACAGTGGTAGGAGAGCTGCCCTGTCCCAGCCTGGGGCTGGCTGATCACAGCTCTCCACTATCCACTTCTAAGGTCCCCCTTGGATGGTAGAACACAGACTATACAGATAGAAACCACATTGTGCCTTCTGGACAATGTGGGTCATGGCCAAAGCCTTTCTTTTGTTCTGCTGGATCAGTTTCAAATTCATCCTGTACTCTGCATTAATCAGCAACTCATACTACAAATAAAAAATAATTAAAAAAAAAGATCCAAGATCCTCTCGGACCACATGAAGTAGACCTGAAAGAAGGGCAGGCTGAAACCATGAGAATCCAGAAACTTGTGAGATATGCTGAGGAAATGATGGAGTCAGAAGTACACAAAGGCACAAGTGTGTCTTCAAAGTGCTCCAGGCTGGTGCAGGGGTGATGGGTAGCAGCCCAATCAGTCCATTTGCAGCCCAGGCCATCTGGAGAGTGGGAAGCCTCTTCCCACATGATGGTGAGATGCTGTACAGGCAAAAAGAGGGAAAAAAATCTCACCTGGAGTTGGATAATGTACCAGCAAAAGAAGGTGAAGGCTCCATAGGTGAGGGGGCAAGCTTGGCATACCAGCAGTGATGATTACAGAGGGAAGGAGCTTCTGTCACCCATCCATGTGACTCCGTAACACCAATATTTTTTTGCTTGGCAAGGAGTCTCTTGGTGCAATCAGACCATATGATCCTGGAAGTCTGCCATGCTAATCTGCTCAGCATACTCATGGAAGGACTGCAAATGGGATGGTCCATCCATCCCATGCTGGTAGAACAGTTTCGCATTAGTACCTCCTTGAGACTTATTGATTTAGCAGGTGCTCATGGCTGGACAGTAGCAAAAGCTTCGCCCTCCTCATACTCCAGATGTTCAAGAGCTTGTAGAAGAATGAACCAAAAGGAGCATTACAGATGGAGATGAAAGACCAGTAAAAATACGCCCACTCAAAGTGATGGTCCATTTCGAGCACTACTGAATATGACATTGGGAAATCTGGAAGCGGACCTCAATCCTGTCCACCTTGTGAGTCATGTCATCAGGAGCTAGATGGACAATGAGGAGCCAAGCTTGGCTTCAAGGTACTAAATGGTTTCTATTGTTTGAAGAACCCACTTGACGAATAGGCATGGGTACAGGACTGAAAAGGAAAGAATTAAAGATGAAAGGAAAAAATAGACAGTGGAAATTGCAATAAGAGAGATGAGTCAGTGAGAAGATGGCTTCTCGAGAGAAGCGTGGGAGATACAAGCATTCCTTCAAAGCGCTGTTTGACAAAACCTTACTGGCCACAGAGAGAATGTAAATCTGTGTTTGTCAGAAAGCACTTGTGATGCCATCCTTCCCCAGCCCTAGAGGGTCACAAGCACACAGACAGCAATGAGAAGGAGCCCTACAGGGCATTTCTCACCCAGCCAGGCAGAAAGCTAGCTCCGAAACTTTTGGGTTTTGCAAGGCTTTTACCCTTGCTGATGTCCAGTCGTCCCAGTGACAAGAAATGTTGATTCCACACAGCAAACAGCAAAACCAGCTCCTGAGCTGAGCAGCTGGCTGCCAAATGTTGTCTCCTGTGGGAAAAGGGTTCATGCTCAGAGATGGTTTTGCAGCAGAAGCCAAGGGGGCTGCAGCCCTCATCAGCAGTGACCGATGTAACATTCATGTGTGGCATGATGCTGTCATTGCCTTGTAGATCAGTAGTTGTCTTCTGGCAGGTTTGTGCCTCTCCTTGATGCCATGCAAATCCCACACAGCAGCTTTGTAAGATCAGAGCAGGTGTATTTGAAGCTCGTCAGAAAGTCCTCTGTTAAAGGTGATAGTAGAGAGAAAGAGCAATCTCTGCTGACAGACAAAGTCCCCCAGACTCCTAGTTTGAAGAGGATACCTTTCAGAAACAAAACTAGTGAGAGGATATAAAGCAGTAATGGAAAAGGTGTGCTAAAATAGGCAGATCTGCAGAAGACAAGCCCCTTGCCTTCTCCTCAGTTCTGCAGAGTAAGACCTTGGAAAGGATAAAGACCAGGGGCTGTGCCATTTCCTAAGGAACTAGGATAACACAGAGCTTCTCATCTCCTTTCTGATGGGAGCAAGCGTCAGAAATAGCAGGGCTATGACAGCAGTTGAAGGAGGAGCAGATGCACTGAGATTTGGGCAGGGGGCTGGAGGAGAGAAGAGGTGGGAATTGGGAAGGTGAGTGCTGTGCTTGGTACATAAGACACACCAGAGGATTCTGCCAGAGGAGAAAAATCACCATGGCATTGCACAGCAGGAAGCTGAAACAAAATCTCCCAGGGAATCATAGAATCATAGAATCACAGAATCATAGAATGGCCTGAGTTGGAAGGGACCTTAAAGATGTTCCAGCCTCCCTGCCATGGTCAGGGACAGCTGAGGAAAGCCACCTGAGCAAGAGGTTGAGGTCTCTCCAGTTCCTGAAGTGGAAAAGAAAAGAGACCTGTTCACAGAATCACTGGCCAAGCTCTGCCAAGGCTCCATGTAAGGAAGTAAAGTCTGTCTGGATGGTATAGCCTACCAGAAGGGCTGAACTCTGGGCTGCCTTACTTCGCCGCTTCACAGTCAAGCAGAGGGTGTGAAGCCCTCCAGGTCCTCAGTAAGTTTTCCAGCAGGTTTAGAGCAAATTCTGAAACTTGGTAGCAGAAGAACTGGCAGCCTCCCTGCTCATTAATATTTATGACCTATCCCAATGCCACAGCAATTCAGGATGTCTGCTCCACGATACATCAACCAGCACATGTGACATCTGAACCAGCATGTAAGGAAGGGATGCAAGGGAATCATAGAATCATAGAATTGTTTAGTTTGAAAAAGACCTTTAAGATCATAGAACCCAACCATTAATCTAACATTACCATGTCTGCCACAAAACCATGTCCCAAAGTCCCACATCTGCAAATCTTTACCTCCAAGGACGGTGACTCCACCACTTCCCTGGACAGCTTGTTCCAAGGCTTCACAACCCTTTTGGTGAAGAAATTTTTTTCCTAATATCCAGTCTAAAACTCCCCTGGCACAACCTGAGGCCATTTCCTCTTGTTCTATCACTTGTTACTTGGTCAAACAGACCAACTCTCCATCTTTCTACAACCTCCTTTCAGACTGTTGTGGAGAGTGAGTTCTCCCCTCAGCCTCCTCTTCTCCAGGCTGAACAATCCCAGTTCTCTCAGACACTCCTCATCACACTTGTTCTCCAAACCCTTCATCAGCTCCATTGCCCTTCTCTGGACAGGTTCCAGCACCTCAATATCTTTCTTGTCATGTGAGACCCAAAACTGAACACAGGATTCAAGATGCGGCCTCACCCTGCTGGCCACGCTATTTCAGATCCAGGCCAGGATGCCGTTGGCCTTCTTGGTCACCTGGACACACTGCTGGCTCCTGTTCAGCTGTTGACCAACACCCCCAGGTCCTTTGCTGCTGGGCAGCTCTCCAGTCACTCCTCCCCAAGCCTGTAGCATTGCCTGGGGTTGTTGTGACCCAAGGCAGGACGTGGCACTTGGACTTGTCGAACCTTATTGAAAGCGTGATGTCACAGGAGTGTGACGATACAACAAGTGTATCATTCGGTCCAGCAAACTGGCTTGCCTGGGGCTTGAGCTGGGAGTAGCTGGGGAAACACATTAGAGACACCAGACCCAGCAGGCAGCACAGGGAGTGGTGGGGATTTCATCCTCTGAATGCGACACACGTCGCT